TGCTTCAGCAACTGGTGGCCTCTCCTTTGCCAGAGGGATTTAAACAAAGATGGACACCAATCAGAGGGGGATGTTCCAATTACATCATGCACTCTAATTCCTGAGTCAGATTGTGGCTTCTTCTCTTTCCTTGTATTTGGATACAGTTTCGGGCTCCAACAGGGTTTCCCACTAAAACTTGTTTGACTAGTCTGGTACTCAGGATGTCAAACTCATTTGTATATCAAGATGTCAGGTTCTCCTGGTCTGAACAGGTGCTCATATTTTTGCCAACACTAGAAATTTGGATGAAGGACCAAACCAGGTGAAACATTAAATAAATAATAGTAAGGGGTTGGGGTTTTTTTGTTTGTTTTTGAAAAAATGCACACTTCAGCTAACCAAAGGAGTTGATAATTATTGGGATCACAGTCAGTGTGGAGACCGACAAGTGTAAGCCTTTTTTTGTACTATAATTTCTAGAATCTTTTTTCTAAAGCTTTTTCTTAAAAATTCCCCACCCCATGTATTAGGAGACACAAATTTTACTATCCAGAAAATCCATATGCCAGTGCTTGGTGGGTTCAGATCACACCTCAAAAGTGGATGTGGATGGAAGAGGTGGTGGCGCAGGCTTGGTACAGTATCTTCCTTTCTTTCCTGCCCTAGACTAGCCTCTTTCCCAGTTCATCTCCACACTAAAACCCTTTCCCAGCATTCAGAAAGGCAAAGAGGCAGATAGAACCTCTTTCTTCACCTGCTACCAAAAACATCTACATTAAGGCAGAGAGAGGAAAACAGAATTTAATTTTCCCTTTGTTCATAGAGATCCTATTGTACATCTTTCTGCCTCGTTATCTGCTTGATTAGCATTTTTCCAGAGCCAATGGGTGAGAGTTATGTCTGTACGGCTGCTCGTTCTCATAGAGAGCATCCTTCTTGCCCAAACATATCTTAACTCTTCCACATACTGCCTGTATCCAGAAGCATCAAAAACTGTATACTGGCCCTCCACTGTGTGCAGCTCCCCTTGCAATGAACTCAGTTCATACTGCTAAGCTATAATACTTAATGGACAGTTCCTCTTGAGACATTGTTTTCATTTTCTGGTGAGAGCTCTACCACCCTACTTTTTACTATTAAATCTTTGCACTAAATGATTGCTGCAAAAAAAACCCACCACATAATTAAATGTGAGAATGACAGGTAGGAATGATTCTTCCCATTCAAATCTCTGTTCCTCAACTTGCTTAGCAGTCTGGGGCGTATGTGATTTCACAAGAGAGGATGGAGCACGGGGAAGGGTGTTACCACGGGCCTCTTTCATTTCACATCCCCACACCCATTTAAGAGGCAGGGCCAGCCCTATCATAAGGCACAGCAACGTAAGCACTTCAGGCAACAACTGCCTGGAATTTGGGAGCAGAAGCAAGATGCCAAAAGACAGACCCGTGTGAGCCAAGCGGCTGGCCCTTTCCCTGTTAAGCTAGCCTGTAATCCTTGGGTGCTTCAGAAAACATTGCGCTGTCAACACTGTGAAAGCTAAGATTCAACTATCAGTCTGTGCATGGAATGGGAGTGGGATATAGTATCTTGCCCTCTGGCAGAAATGGCAATGTTTCTTGGGCCAGCATTGACTGCAAACTCATCAACGTCCTGGCACAAAGCCAGTCAAGTTTTATCCCATTCCACAGTCAATAGCAGCAATGATTCAGCAGATTGTTTTTGGGCTACCATTTGGCGCTTATAGGCAAATACTGCTCTTACACGACCCTGCAATATAAAACCTTGTGTTAAAAATAGCAACATACTTGCTATGGGACACACAGTATGCCAGACACAATTGCTTGTGTTGTTCAGGAATCCCCCACCTCAAAGGAAGCCACACAAACAAATATATCTAAAGAAGTCTCTTAGTTCAAGGTGTTGCAGGACTGAGCCAACACGATGCAGTCAGTTTCTGCAAGGAAGATTTCCGGCTTGGTGCAAAGGTTGGAGCTAAAGAATTTGAAACAGCAAAAGGGGCAAAAAGGCTGGGCCTCACAAAATGAAAACAGTGGCTGAAATCAGGTAGTAAGCAATTAGAGTGATCCCATTGGTTCAGTGGGGGTTTGGCGTGTCAACTCCTGTATAAGTTCCACAGATTCTATGGGCCTACTCTAGTTGTGCCTTACTACTGGATTTATGCCCTCATCTCAAGAGGGATGGACTTAGGATCACAACTATCCTAGCTTTCTGCAGGGAGTGACAGTGGCACACAGTGGAGTCTCAGTGCTGATTCAAATGCTCCTGGATATTGGCTACACCCAGGAAATCTGCCTTACTACTGGATTTATGCCCTCATCTCAAGAGGGATGGACTTAGGATCACAACTATCCTAGCTTTCTGCAGGGAGTGACAGTGGCACACAGTGCAGTCTCAAATGCTCCTGGATATTGGCTACAACCAGGAAAAATTAGTTACATTTGGACAGCAGTGAGCCTGGATGCTGTGAGAATGGACTGAGGTGTGGACATGGGCAGAAAATTCTTTGCCTGGTACCCAGAATGCTACTCAACATTCTTAAGAAGCAGATCAGGTGCCAAATTTATGCTATTTTCCAGCTCCCTCTGGCTAGTCTGTCATGATCACACTACAATCTGCTGCTACTATCTGGCGAATAATACAGCTGAATCTAGCAGAAGTCTTTACGATTAAGTGAAGAATAAATCTGGTTCTTCATAATATTATATCCTTTTCCAGCCTTTATATGGTGGGATTCCAGAAGGCACGCTCCTTTCGCCGCACAGGCTATAGCTTCAACATTTGCAAACATGCTGGTTGAAATCCTGTCATTTAGCAAAGTTGCAACTAGAGCAGGTACATTAAATCAATGGCACTTACAGGACTCACTAAATTCCCAGCAATTCCTGTTAAATCAGGAGAACCCCAGGATAAACCTAGCTGCTGAAGGAGCCCAACTGCTCTAACTCTTCCATTTTTTTACTTCAGGCCTTAGAGAGAAGGGAGATTCAGAGAACTATGTGAAAGCATGTTTTAAAAAAACAAAACAAGTACCCTTCTGTCTTTGTCTCCTTGAATTGGTGATAACGATTATAGGGGAAGAGAATAAGGGATAAAGCAAAGGAGAAAATGATCTTCCTTAGGTACCTGACTTTACCTCTGCCAGGTAGAAACAACTTCAGAGTGAAAACTGTGTACTGCCAACAGCTGTCAGAAATGAGAAAGACATGACAATGCCTGTGACCACACAGCAAGGGAAATGTGAATTGATTTGCCTTCTTTTGCTGCAAAGTCACACTGGGGTATTTGCTTATCTCCAACGCAAGTGTCCACAAAAGCAGAGCAGTTTAAAAGCCTTCTACTAGCAGTTCCTGCAGTGCCTGCAGGTGGCGCAGTTCAAAGAAACTGCCTTAAGAAGGCTTTCCTTCCAGCTTCCATAGCTTCTCTTGCCAAAGAGATTTTTTTAAGTTGTTAAGAAAGAAAGAAAGAAAGAAAGAAAGAAAAGAAAAGAAAAGAAAAGAAAAGGATGGGAGAAAGCTTGAAAGAAAGAAAGAAAGAAAGAAAAGGATAGGAGAAGGCTTTTTAAAAAAAGAAGTGGCAGCTTAGAGGAGCAGAGGCTTTGCAAAGAGGTGAGTACTATCTCTCTCTCTGTGTGTGTAGCTCTCACTCCCTCTGCTCCCCTTTCCCCCTCTCACACACACAGACAGACAACCATTCCCCACTCTCTTTTCTCCCAGCTCCTTCCACTCTCCCTCCCCCCCTCCCACAACAGGCAAACTACGACCACTGAATCTGCACAGGAAAAAATCCTTCAGAGACTTTCTAGCAAAGAAACAAAAACAAAACAGTAGTAGCTTCTTCCCAGGAAGAAAAAAACTCAGTTTGTAAACCAAAAGGGATGGACAGATTCGATTTAGTCTTTGCATCATGTGAGCATGAAGAATTAATTCATATCCACATGTTTTAGGAATAGAGTAAATCCCAAAAATTTCTGTTTGCATAGTCACAGCCAATGTTTCTCCCTCTGGCTTGCATGTCTCCTTGACCCCTTTTCAGCTACAGTAACTCACAAAGCAGAGAAGGAACAGTGGCTAGAATGAAAAAAGCAAGGAAAGAGGCCTCTGGGTTGCACCCACTCAGAGGCTCTACTGCATGAATTCTTGGCTCACCTCCTCATCTGGGTGGGTGGGTGGCTGCTGATGGGAAAGGCGGAAAAGGGAAGCAAGCATTCCTGCTGTAACAAGACGATTGTGTGAAGAGGAGGAAAAGAGCAGCATGCAAGTGGGGGAAGCAGCTGGGGGTGTGGTGCCATGCTGATGAACTGGCACAAACCTCAGAACCGAGGTTCATGCCCATCCCTAGAGAATACACTAAGAAAGTGCTTGTCAACTTCTGGCCCTCCAGATATTTTGGACTTCAATTCCCAGGATGGTTGACCATTGACTATGCTGGCTGGTTCTTCTGTGAACAGAAATACAAAACAGGTAGAGGACCAAAGATTAAGAGCTCCAGTAGGAGAGTTTTCTGGTTTCAGTTTTTGCATTTCTGGAACACCTGGAGCTGAGTTATTAAGCAATACAACTTCAGATACACCATTCTGGAAGAAGAGACCTCTTTGGATTTGCTATTTGCTTACTTACCTTAGACATCTTCAGTCAGGGATGTTAACTTTCAAATGTTATTGAGACAGTTGCTCCTATCATCCTGACCACAGGCTATGTTAGCAAGGCTGATGGAAACTGATTTCAACATCTGGAAAACCACATATTCTTTACCACTGCTCTAATTACTATGACAGTTCCATCTTGAATATCATTCAAGCCATCACTATTATGCTGCCATTTTTAAAGGATGGTACATCATCTCAAGACTACATGAGAGGTAACAATTGCCTACAAAACACTGAACAGGAAAAAGGTGTTTGTTCAATGAATGTATGAAACCACAAATGTCTCCATATTACTAGGATGGCATTCCAGGTCTCCTGACCCTATTTTAACACACACATGTCTTCCTACCTTCTGCTTTCCAATATCCATTAGTTCAGTTGTGCCACCCAATCGTTCAATGTCCTTGGCAGCCACTTCGATCATTCGTTTGACCTCTCCTCTCTTCTCTGGCCATGCTGAGACACTCTGGATTGCCACCCAATCTGCCAGTCGCTAGACATATGTAGTTCAAGAGAAAGAGATGGGGTGAGGAAAATAAACAATGAAACATTTACTCTCAACTTTTGCTTGGCTATGATTGAACAGCAAAGGCAAAAATTTCAAATATGCTGGTGGAACAAAAGCTGCTACCATGTTGAAGAGTATGTGTACAGGAAGTTATATTGACTTCCAAGTCTTTCAATGTTTCAACTGGAGGCCCTCCCCAGATATTTTGGACTTCAGCTCCTACCACTCCAGCAGTATGGACCTAAACTTTGGAAGGCACCAAACTATTTTGCCATCAAGAACTTCTACTGATTTTGAGGCTAAGGTGAATCCTAGTGGAACAGAATGATGGCATACTTCAGTATTCCTCTTTCATGAGTCCTACATTCAGGAAATATCACAGAAAGTAAGGCATGGAAAATCTCTAGCTCACAATTCAAATTCACCACTGAATTTGGCCCACTGAGATGCCTCCTTTAAGCCTCATATTGTCTCCGAGCACCAGCTTCTTTTCAGAAGAATGTCTCCTGTTACATCTGACCAGAGATAAAAGTTAGGATTCCTCTTCAAACAGAAGAGGGGGAAACTCAGCTGGCCCAGAGAAGAGTTACTCCTCCAAGTGTTGTTTAAGCCCTTCATGTCCTGTTTATTATCCTAACTCGGATGGTGAGCAGAACATGAAGCAGGGTTTTGGAGAAGATGCTCCTCTGAGTACTTGTAGAATTGTTTTGCCTGTGCTGATGAAAAAAACATGAAAAAAGGAACTGGGAAAGCACTTGATGGTTTCAGGTAAGTGAATGCCCCCTCCCAGAAGCATCTGGCCCAACCAACTTGTCCTAAGGATCAATTATTATGCTTCAAACCCACAAAAAATCCTCTTTTGCTCCAGCCAGCACATGTTCTGGTCCTCCCAGGCTTACAGCCTTTGATTTACTTGTCTTCATATCTCCATCTAACATGGTTTTGACAACTGTATTGATCTGATACCTACAAGGGCAATTTCTGTCACAATACTAGACATTAGAAAGAACTGACTGCTCATCGTTTGTGTGTTCAGGCCACACCCTTGGCAGTTTCTGTTCTACCACGAAAGTGATTTGTAGATGCAGCAAATGCGACTTCCTTAAGTATTTCTACAGACATGTCTTTTTTTAAAAAAAACCCTCTGGTACTATTTCCCAGCCCTCTGTGCATTTTATGAAATATCCAAGACCTAACCCTGAAAGAAAAGGCAACCCAGTGTTTGGACTGTGCAACCTCAGGTTGCTCTTGAAATGCACTTCTATGCCAAAACAACAAACTTTGTCTCATACAGAAAACCAGAATGCCAGTGAGAATGTAAGAACAAACACCAACAAGCTAATTTACTTTGTGCACGATTCCACACTCCCACCTCACGTGGCATGGAAGTGTATTCAGTCACCAGAGTCACATTCAGTCACTTGCACTCTGAACTGGCACGGTTCAGAGCCAGAACATGCACACTTTTTAAATAGTAAAGGACGCTGGCCATCCACATCCACAAAGAGTAACAAAATATACAATTTCTCCTCAAACAGCTTATCATCTATGCATGTTCTATTTATTAGGACAGAGATTCTCACTTTGGTCTATAAAGGAAGAAGGCACATTTCAGGGCCATCCAGTAGCTTAATATTTGGAAATTTGAGGCTCCTACTTCCTTGGTTAGCACCATCCAATATTGAAGTAGCACATGGGTAAATCCTAACCCTTTTTTAGGCCATGGATGAAGAACCTCTGGCCTTCTGCATGTTTTTGGACCACAGTTCCCATGATCCCCAGTCGCTGCCCACACCAGACAGGGCTTCTGGTCTTGAAATGGAGAACATCTGGATGGCCAAAGGTTCCCCTCTCTGAGGCCAATGTGGGAAGGAAGGGTATATTTTTGCAATTAGTTCCTGGCCCCTTAATCTTGAGCCCTAGAAAGATCAGCCTGCAGCTGCTCTGTGAATCAGAGGATTGCAGAACAGCAAACTCTCAGCGAAATTTTCCAAATAAAACATTTCCAACCCTACCCATCAGCTTGAGGAATTCAGGGCAGGTAGAACAGTGCTTTGTCAACCAAAGCAGTCCAGCAACACACCAACAACTTATTTGTAGCTTAGTATACACTGCAGGCACTGATATTACAAAGATCCTGGACTTTAAGATTCTTTCAATGAGGCTACTTACCTTAACATACAGGTCCTGGTGTTTGTCTACATACTCAAAGAGAGTTTCAAGAACAGACGACATCTTCTGATCAGAATTGTGAGGCTGAAAAATCTGTAAAGAGAAGTTAAAAAGGAAAACAGAGAGACAATTCAGATTCGATGGCTTTCAACACTACAGCCTCAGCTGCCAAGAACATTCCTTTCTTTGCTTGGAGTGTACTTTGGTTTTGAACAGATTCGGAATCCAGAACCAAACTGGGCTTGTCAGAGTAGATTCAAATTCTGATTCAGAGCAAGCCTCTAATGAAATGGTTAAAGCTGAAGTTGTATATTTCTTCAGATTTGTTAGCAATTATAATTCTGAGGAACATGACATGCCTTCAGAAACCAATGTATTTCTCCACAAGCTCTCCATATAAGGAAAACATCATGGTGGGGGAAGGGAGAACAAATATATTTTTGTGTCTATGAGTTTATCTTCTAATCACAATGAACGGTTTACCAAGGCTCTCTAGTCACAAGGCATGTTTTTGAAAGGATGAGGAAGTAATATACCATGTGATCATGTGACCAAGGTACAACACTGGATGCTTCTCTAGAAAACAGCAGATGTTCAGATCCTTTCCCTTCTGCTATGGTATATTCTGCATCCACCATCCTCTCCTATGCTAGCACATTTTCAAAGATTCAGGTGCTGACTGGAAAAAACAAACCAGAAAGACTGGAATTGTTTTTCACTTAGTCTAACTCTTGTGCTTATTCTTCTGAAATTTGGCAAATGTATTGTCTAGAGAGATGTCTATCAAACAGACAACTCTCGCACAAAATATCGCCAAACGTTCCCCCTCATTTTTGCTAGAGCTGCACAGGGTGGCCATCAGACATAAATGGGCAGCAACACTGATGCAGTGCTGTGTGCACTGATGCACACATTGATGCAGTGCTGTGCAGGATTGATGCAGTGCTGTGCACATGCAGCTTACAGAGAACTTTGCCAGGGAGGCAGGTTAGGTAAAGGTAAAAGTTCCCCTTGACATTTAGACCAGTCGTGTCCAATTCTAGGGAATGGTGCTCGTCCCCGTTTCCAAGCCGTAGAGCCAACGTTTGTCCGAAGACAGTTTCCATGGTCACATGGCCAGCGCGACCAGACATGGAACCGCCATTACCTTTCCACCAAGGTGGTAACTATTTATCTACTCACATTTTTATATACTTTCAAACTGCTAGGTTGGCAGGAAGGGAGGCAGGTTAAGAGGCAGCAAAACAGTTATTTCCTAAATGCTGAACACTCTCTTTTAAAGACCCCATGTGTAAAGGCTACTCTTACACAAAATCCCCAGGATGGTAAACTTTAGAGATGGGGTATTTATATTTGTCTCCTGGGTGGCTGGATCCTTGGGGCCCACCCCACCAGAACTGGCTGATCTACTTATCACTTCTGGTGTGGGCGGCTGTCATCATTCACACCATGCCAATTGTGGAAGTACCCTGGCCAGTGCTTCCCCACCTCCTTGTGTCGCTGACCACACTGGTGAGAAGGCGGGATGCTAAGTCTCTCCGCACAGCTGCTGAGTGGTCATTGGGTGGCTGGATCCTTGGGGCCCACCCCACCAGAACTGGCTGATCTACTTATCACTTCTGGTGTGGGCGGCTGTCATCATTCACACCATGCCAATTGTGGAAGTACCCTGGCCAGTGCTTCCCCACCTCCTTGTGTCGCTGACCACACTGGTGAGAAGGCGGGATGCTAAGTCTCTCCGCACAGCTGCTGAGTGGTCATCAGCACAGGCCTGGCCAGTGCTTCCCCACCTCCTTGTGTTGCCGACCACACTGATGAGAAGGCGGGATACTAAGTCTCCCCGCACAGCTGCTGAGTGGTCACCAGCACAGGGAGGTGGGGAAGTGCTGGCCGGGCTACTACTGTGACTGGTGTGGTGTGAACAGCTACAGCTGTGCACACTGCATCATGAGTGGTAAGTGTACCAGCTGGTTCTGGTGGGGTGGGTTCCAAAGGGCCCGGCCACATGTGGTGGCGATATCTGTATTTGTCTCCCCCACGAGACAGATATGAATATCCCATCTCTACTTGTCATGTTTGATCCTCTCAGAAGGAGAGACTATCACTGCACATTTCATCAAGTTTGGTAAGAAATATTTTAAATGTATTCACGAAGGCGAAATATTTTAAAGGTTATCAGTAGATTTCTAGATTTTTAAAAAACCTAAATTTAAAGGTATGCAGCACACACACAAAATATGCACCCATTTGTCTGAATTTGAGAGGGATAATCCATTCATCGTCTGGTCTCCAAGCTAGTCCAACTGGGTTACTTTCTCCAAATTGGGGTCCCAATGAAATATTGAGATCAGTGCATGTCTCTAAACTGCAGTTCATTCAGCCTGCTTTCAATCTGCATCTCTGCAATTTTCAGTAAAGCGAGGAAGGAGAGAGTTCACTATGAATCATTCTACAGGTCACATGACAGGAGTGAGCAAAGCAAGGAAAGCTGTGTCAGCTGTCCTTCTTTAAATACTTAAAGCTCTGCAGTTGCAGTGGAGATTACTCTGATGACAAGCACTGTGAGGACACAGAATTTAAATACAGGCCATTCCATTCTGGCACTCTTGCATACAGCCTACCAATTTCCTCTGGGGACTGTATTGTGCATGAACTATACAAAGAAACAGTTGAGAGAGCCAATGACACTTCTGCACATGAGAGCAAACTCCCAGTTACACAAGAAACATCAAACTAAAGGTGTGGTCTTAATAAAAATCTGATGGTCAGCCGATCAGTATTATTTTCTCATAGGAGCAGAAGAAAACCAACCTTGACAAATATAACAATTCTGTGAGTGCATATTCCTGCAGTGTTCAGTAGCTTACAATTCCCAACCAACATTTTGATCCAAAGCATATTGGAGTGAATATCCACTGAAGTCATAGGAAAAAAAGTCAAGTCCGAGTTGATTTACTGGTGTAACAGGAGAATGAGTCCCACTACTCAAGTCATCATCCCTGATCATTACTGGCAATACAGAGAGAAGGCTAAGTCAACCATGAGAGGGTTCCCCTCCCACTGCTCCCATGACATCAGGACCCATAATCATATGATACCTTTCCCTTCACTGAAGCCTCAGAAGATGAAAAAAGTGTTGTGGACCAGGATGATCTTACTTAGACAACAGTGACAGCAGTGGTCTACTGCAGTGGTCCCCAACCTTGGGCCTCCAGATGTTCTTGGACTTCAACTCCCAAAAATCCTGGCCAGCAGAGGTGGTGGTGAAGGCTTCTGGGGGTTGTAGTCCAAGAACATCTGGAGGCCCAAGGTTGGGGACCACTGTCATAGAGAAAAGAACTGCAGACTTATAACCTAACTTTTCTCCCCCATGGTGACCCGAGATTGAAAGAGGGGAGATGGGAAAAATATTTAGCTACACCAAATCCAGCCCAGCAACAAATTGTGATAGGAGTTAATTGCAGCCATGAAACTCGGCAGACTGAGTGCAAGACCAGGGTAAATCGCAGCCCAACAAAGCTCCTCCTAATCACTGAGTCATGCTTACTTAAGAAGTGAAGGACCTGCTGGATTCGCTCAGCTGATGTCTAGTATTCCAAGGAAACCCACAGACATTTCGGTCCAGTGAACACTAAAAAACAAACAGCCGTATCCAAAACCAGAAAGGAACACAACGGTACTCTTTGGATTTTAATTTGAGATATACTGTACTTGTTTCACAGGAAGCTGCTGGGGAGAGGGCTGATCACATGATTTTTCACATTTGGTTTGTGCTAGCTTAGAAAGTATTATTTATTGCAACTCACACTAGGCAAACAGGTTTCTGAACAGTTTATACTTTCAACTGCTCTTCTGTTATCAGACGCTGATCTGCTCTAGAGTGTCCCTGCAACAAAGCATGTAATTGTTGAATTCATTCCTTGGCGGTCCCACCTACTCAAATACTCCACTGCGCTATGGAGTGTTTTAAAAGATTTTCATTTATTTTCAAAGGTCAGCAGTTTTACAGTGCTAGAGGTAGAGAACAATTCAGCAATGAATATGATTGGAATCAAGTCTACACACTCGCCATCAACTGAATGCATGCCAGAATCCTCATCCTTCAGATTCGGGGCAAAAGCACAGCAGCATGGGGAGTGTCTGTGTGGCCCTAAGCCCCATGGACAGCAATTCTTCCTTCATCGGATGGCAAGTGTTGATGCTCTTTCTCACAGTGCTTTTCCAAGCAAATAACGTGGCAAATAACGTGGCACAGGAAGTCCCAAAATGAAAGGTGGACAAAATGCAGGACACAGCTTCACCTTTAGGCTGGGAAGCCATTTTGACAGAGGGAAGCCCCTTTTTTTGGCACTATGTCCAGCTGGATCTTTACTGAGAGAAGAGGAACCACTCTGCATTTTTCTTGCTAGACCCACTTTAGTTCCAACAAGAAGATTAAATGGATCAAGAATCAATTTAATTCTATGGCTGGGAAATAACTGGAAGTAGAGTTGATAGTACTGTTATCTGTAAGGGCAAAAAACATTTTGAAGACTCAGTTGGATCATGCCGGCTCTCACCTATACTCCTATAATAATAACTGTGCCATCGAGTCAATCCTGACTTGTGATGACTCCTTCCAGAGTTTTCAGGATATGGTGGTTTACCATTGCCTTCTTCTGGGGACATCCTGGGACTGTGTAGCTCTCCCTGAGGCCACACAGGCTGGCTCTACTTGCAGGAGGCACAGTGGGTGATTGAAATCCCAACCGCTTGCTCTGCAGCCAGGTACCTAAACCACTGAGCCATCCAGCCAGCTTAATCATACTTCTACACTTTAGCAATTAGTCTCTAGAGGTTAATTCACAGTTTTATTGAATATTTGTAAACTGATCACATGGATGATGTCCTGTGCCTCTTTTACCCCTTGTCATTTCATATTCTGCCCTCAAACCCTCTATATTTCCACCCCTACGGCTTTTGCTTCAAGTTTCAACAACAGGCAGTTCCCCTGTATCTCCCCATCCTATTCCCCGTTTCTCTCCCGCATCCTTCAGTCTTTGTTCTATAATAGTTAACCACCTGTTGAATGTTAATATACAATTATTGTTTCTGTTGGTGGGGGCGGTGGAAGAAACAAAGAGCCATAGCCCTTCATGTTTACAGAGAATGTTACAATTCCCAGCAGCATTTTGAAACCTGATTATTAAAGTATCATAGAACCATGGCTCACACTTAAGGCTTACTATATTTGTTATTCTGGCCTCCAAGGGCATCTTCAAGGTAGTTCCCTGCCATCAGCACTGCCATCTTGCACAACTGATAACCAGCGCATAAGCTTTCAACAATTTATACTAGAAGAACAAGAAGGCCAAGAAAGGAGATAGCTTTTAAGTTGAGATACTAATAGTACAAATGAACACATGATGTAATTTCTCAAGCGACAACAACAACACAACACTGGAATGGAATTTTCTCTCAAATAAGTACAGTATGCAAAGGACTGCACCCTATACAGCAGGGGCAGCATTTACTGGAAGCAACAACACTTGTAATGGAAAAGCTTGTGCAATATGCATTGCAGGAAGTTTATGAAGACACAGATTTATGTCCTCAATGAGCAATGGAACTCAAAAGGGTGACCCCAAGCCAGTCATTCTCTAAGCCAAAACCACCTCATAGGGTCGCCAACAGAATGACGTGGGGTACTCAAGAGCTTAGCAGAAGAAAGGCAGAGTATAAATTTAACTTCTATTATCACTAATAATAATAAAGATGTTTGCACATCACATCAATCGATTCCTTTTTCTTTTCAGTAACAACACAATTTACGAAGTTTAAAGGGGGGGGGGAAGTGTCCCTGCAACATGCAAGCAAAAATGCACAGAGTTCTATAAAGCTCTTAGCAGGCAGGCAGGCAAAAAGGGAGGTAATAGCAGCACAAGAGGAAAAGAATGGAAAAACTAGAAACACAGAGAACAGAATGTTACAAGAGATTACTAAAAAAGGACGAGAGAAAGTGATGGGAGGGCATAAAGAGAAGGCAGAACAATGCCCAAATACATCCAGGATCACAGTGGACAAGATAAGAGGGCACAACAAAGGGTAAATGTTCCTGAAGTGGCAAGGCATTTATCGAGTTGTGCCAGGTATTTTATTTAGTTACGTTTATGTTCTACTTTTCTTGGAATTAGCTCAACAAGCGCCTGCTTTCCCCCCTGAAATTAGCCTCGCCCAAACAACCCAGGGATAGAGGAAGCCGTTCAACAGGGCAGGGAGGAAGGGGAAACGGCATTGGGGAGGGGAGAGAGAACTGGTTGGAGGTTCAGGACTCAGCGGGGACTCGAAGCCAGGTTTCCAGCCTCCAGGCGACCCCTCCAACCGCTCCACCACACGGGATCACTTGCACACCCTGCCCAGTGCCCATGTGGCGATTCCGCTGCGTCCTCCACAGGCAGCCCTCCCAGGCGGGCCAGTCAGCATCCCGTCCACCCCCAACCCCCTCCCCGCCTGCCTCGCTCAAAAGACTCCGATCGCTCCACAGGCCCGGATCCCCGTCGCCTTCAGTTTCGGGCCAGCAGGACCCTCGCCAGCCGAAAAATCCAGGGCGCGATGCCTTGCGGTCAAAACAGGTCTCTGGGATGCGTCCTCCGGGAGCATCCGAAGCCCTTGCGAAAACACGGGGCCTCGGATCTGGCCCTTCTGCGGGCGCGCCCGGGGCCGCGGGGGTCCATTCCCTCCCCGAAGGGAGACGCGTCCCTGCGGGAGAGGCATCCCCCGTCTCGCCCCGGCTCACCTGGCGGATCGGGGCGGGCCTCCATCGCCGGCCATGGAAGCTGCGGCGAATGAGCGCCCCGCACCCCCTGGACAGGATGAGGGCGGCAGCCATTGCTGGCACCGTCCGAGGACGGGTGAGGGGGAAGATCCGGGTGGGCGGCCGGCTGCAGCTGTCGGACGAAGGCCCGGAGGTGGGAGGGAAGGAAGGGATCAGAAGGGAAGCGCAAATCCCCGGCGGCTCCTCCTCGCCATCTGCCCACAGAGGAGAGGAGGACGAGGAGGGGGGGCGGCGGTGGCGGCGGCACGGAGAGGATCATTGCCAACGTGGCTCTGCTGGAGCCGGATTCAGCCGCAACCCTCCCGACGAAGAGCCAAAGACCGGCTCCTTGCTCGGCTCCCTCTGGGCGGTGCCACCCGGCTTGAGATGCCGCTATGCCTACTCACCCGGTGCAATACAGCGACATGCAATGCAATGCCGCCACGTGAAGTCCACCAACCACGAAAGGCACTCCCTCGCCGGCCGAGGCGGCCCTGCTCCCGGCTTAAAAAAGCTTTCCGAGGTCCCGCCCCTTCGGGGGACCGCGCTGAGACCAATCGGCGTCTCGGTGGCCATCGATTGGCCGCCAAGCCGGAAGGAACGCGGGCCGGAGAGAGAAGAGGGAGGGGAGGAGTCGAGTGACTTTTGAATTAAGTCGAAAAGAAGTCAGTGAGTCTCTGAAAGACATCGGGATTTAAGCCGGCGTTTCTTTGCCGCCTGGGAAGTTTCGAAGGAAGGTGGGATTCATCCAGAGAAGGCAAAGTCCGCACTTTGATAATGCCAAAACGCTAAAAGTTTAGAAGCGAGGCGAGCTACCAGCCCTCTTGATCAGGCAGTGAGGGTATAAACATTTGGGGATGGGGTGGAAGCGGATGGGCTCCCAGAATCGAGCCAGATGTTATGCCCATTCTTTTCTTGAAGGCAAACGCGCAATCTGGAGTTTGCCGTTTTGGCTGAGAGAAGCTAGCATTTTACACTCTCATCTTCTTGCAGACAGTAGCCTTAGAGTTTGCATGGACCTTATGTGCAACTGTCTGTAGCTTTCGCTGAGAAACACAGTCCCCTTGGGCTCGGAATGGAAGTACATGGAGCGTCCAGTAGTCCAGATCTGAGCAAAGCAACAGTTTGAAACCAGATGTTCGTCGTAGGTTACCACCAAATTGGTAGACATACCTAGTAGTTTCATTAGTCTAAAGGAGTAGATTGTATCCACAAAACCTCACTTCAAAATATATTTGTTAGGCCTAAAGGTGCTACAACACTTGTATTTTTGCTGTTGCATTTCCATGTCACACAGGATTGTGTGACAGTAATAATATGGTGTCAAGTCAATTCTGACAAATCTGATCCTTTTCTGGGTTTTTTAGGTAGAAAGTAGTCCAAAATGGTTTGGCATTCCCTTCTTCTGGAGATGCCCTGGGACTGTGCAGCTTGCCCAAGGATGCACAGGCTGGATTTACTTGCAGGAGGAACAGTGGGGAATCAAACTCCCAACCTCTTGCTCTGCAGCCAGATACCTAAACCATTGAGCTATCCAGACAGCTGTGTGACATATTACCAAGTTTTAAAATATTAAAATAAAGCACTATCATTAAGGCTGAAAGCCCATGGAAGTACTCTGCCACTTGGCTGTTAGTATGCCATCTTTCTCTTTTTCTACTGCCTTCCAGTGTTTCAAAAATTACTGTCTTTTGCAGTGAGGCTTGTATTCTTGTTATATGTTCGAAGTCTGATAGCCTCAGTTTAGGGCTCGATTCCACTGACAATAAACTCGGGTTCTGCTGAAAACAAGTCGGATTTAATTTTTAGTGTACACAAAAAGCACATGCACACGTGGTCCACTTATTTTGAGGCCCATCTGGAATCAATTCCACATGTACTGTATGTATGCCCCCAACACTTTTTAAAATAATTCCTGATAACCTTACCAGATAGCATGAATTTAATAAAATAAAAGCACCATGCTTGCAAAAAGCTGGCCCCTGCCCAGTTACCCCCATCACCTGCCCAATCGCACTCCCCCACTGCCTGCCCACCACCCATGATGAACCTTGTTTGACAGGCAGTGTTGATATGGTATAAGGATACACGCACTGACACAAATCTTGAAGGCTTTCACAGCCCGGATCCAACGGTTGTTCTAGGTTTTTCGGGCTGTTTGGCCGTGTTCTGGAGGTTTTTCTTCCTTACATTTTGCCAGTCTCTGTGGCCGGCATCTTCAGAGGACAGGAGCTAGAACTCTGTCTATGTTCTAACTCCTTTCTTCTGAAGATGCCAGCCACAGAGAATGGTGAAACATGAGGAGAAAAAACCTCCAGAACACGGCCAAACAGCCCAAAAAACCTACAACAACCACTGACACAAATAGTTTGAATTCATGCTGAAGTCCATGCAATGTTACCCCGAATCCAATAGATCCTGTCCCTCTGCCAGTTTATTCCAGTAGTGGGAACAGGCTCTAAGTCATAGATCTGATTTTAAGCAGGGCTAGGCCTGGTTGATACTTGAATGGCAAACTACTGGGCAACACTTAAAATCACCAGAAAAGGAGCAGGGCAGGTGGACCTTCGTGAAATCTTAGACAACAGCAGCCAAACAGGATTGATTACACAGTTAAGTGGACAAACGATGTGACTCAGTATAAGGCAGCTTTCTTTGTCCTAGAAATACAGCGAAAGTGTGTGCCATATATTAGAAAAAGAGGACACAGAGGGCAGGAAAAAAGTATTCACATCCCCAGTTAATCCAAAGTGTGCAGGAGCACGAAAGAAAAGAAAAAAGAGAAGAGACACATATCCGATGCCTGAAAAAAAGAAAAAAAAATACTGGGAGCAAGTTTGACCATGAGATGACAAGGGAGTAAAAGTCACACCGAAGAATAAGAAGCAAAGAAGGGCACTGAATACATTTTCTGTCTCTGCCCAAGAGGGAGGCTAAATATCTGTGTCTGAAGGTGTGACCCTACAGAATGTTGTTCTGAACCAACATGAACTTCTCTGTCTCCTGGCACATAAGCCACAGTCATCTTTCAAAAAGATCTATTTCATTATCCCGGGAAGGTGTGTTTCAGGTGTCACACAACCCTGCTTTCCCCTCACCCTTCTGTGCCATTATCACCACCCCCTTACCTGTCCCTTTCACTGGCATTCAAATTCCTATTTTTAAAAAAGGGTTAGAAAGTGACAAGACTCAGTAAAAAATCGAATCAGAAGGGGGGCTGGCATCGTGAACCATTGTCACTGAATAAGTTGCGTTGCAGTTGCAGTCCTTACTGGTGTGAAGAGAAGGCAGGCAAAAGAAGTAGGGTTCACGATGCCAGCCCCCCTCGTGCCCCACTCTGTTGTCATCAATGGTGTCATTGGGACTTGCCTTAAAACTGTCTCAGGGGACTGATATGAGCAAACACCCAAGCCAAAAGCCAGGAAAAAAAATAATGTGAATGGAAACGTTAAAAAAAATTTTTACAAGCCCTGCTGCCAGAACTAAATATGCCACTTATTCATGCTGAAAGATAGGATCTACTAGCAATTGGCACTGACACTGTATAGTGAACAGAATAAACAAGGAAAGGGATAGTGAGAAACACAGGACAAACAATGAGACATGCCCATGTAGTCAGTCATCCCCTGGAGTGGCCTTTTAAGGAAGTCAAGCAGAGGGAAGAATACTATTCAGAGTTGATCAACTGATTGTGAAAAGAGAAAGCGGCCTGGATGGCTTCCACCTGAGAATCTGCAGATCATGCAAGTGTACAACTTCTAACCTTGCAAAGCCCTTAAAACGGGTCTCTTTATCAAGGGATTGAGAAGCAGCCAAAGTAGCACTCATCTTTCAAGAACTTTCTGGTGACGTGGTGTCCAGAAAACTACAGGACGTTTAGCCTAATGCATATTCTGTGTAGAAAGCATGGTTAAAGTCAGTAAAGTATTATCACGCATGAAGAGAAGAGTTCCCTCTTGCTGAATAGACAACACCAGGCCTTTTGCTGAGATGAACCCTGCCTCACCAAACAGTGTAGAGACCTTGAGAAACTACTGTAGGTAGAGCAGTGATTCAGTAGTCGCTTGGTACGCTTGGACTTTCAAAAAAGGTTTTTTGATAAAATTCTCTTATCAAGAATACCTGAATAATCTCAGCAGTCACGGGGCAGAAGAGTAAATCTTCCAAGTGGAATAAAGAACTGGATAACTGGAACTACAATGATCTAACTGGGTAAAGAAGAGGGAGTGACAGTTGTAACAATGAAGGTCCATAAGAAGTGAGGCCCTGCCAAGATTTGTATTTAGAATGGTGGTTCTTAGCATGTCTATAAATGTCCTGGCAAGGAGGGCCAACTTTGCTGATTACGTCAACTTATTCAGGGTAGTGAAATCTGAAGCAGAGTGTGAAGAACTCCAAGTGATATGTCTAAAATGGGCAAATGGGAAGAAATGATAAATCTGATTTAATGCATAGAAATCTATAGTGAAGTCTAATGAAAGCAAAAGAAACCTCCTTCACTTTATCACATATTTGTTGAACTGGGAGCTGGTAATAAGGAAATGTATCTTAGGCTGAGGTAGAGAAGTCAGTGAAATTTCTGATCTATGTGGCAGTTGGGGGGGGGGGGGAGGCAGATACATCAGGTTCAAATGAATGCCGCAGTTCCCTTCGTGCCTAGCTTGTAAACTTCCCAGGGGCATCTGGTTGGCCATTGTGGAAAACAGGGTGCTGAACTAGACAGGATAGTCTGGTCCGTCTGGACTCTTGTAATGATTAAACTCCTGTTAGCTCATTGGTCTAGTTACTTTTGAGAAATAAGAAAGCAGACAGTAACTTTATAAGAATTGCAAATATAAAAGTACTTACACTGTGTTGGTTTTTGAAAACCTAATTGTGGCTTGCTAATTTTTTCATTTTTACTTCCCAAGCTCTGCTTTCTAATCTTCTGAAGATTAATTTGTATGTATCATTGGCCAATCCTTTTTCTTTTTTTCAAACCAGCTGGCCCCAACCTAGCGCTCTCCATCTGCTTTTGGCCAATTCGTATTGATCCCAGCCACTGTAGCCAATAGTTAAGAACGCTGAGATATGTTATCCAAAGCTATTTATA